GAAGAAGACACCTGAATCTAAGTCTGGTAAATTTTATCCCGAAGCTTAAGAAGGGATGAGTCACCGCCTAACACGCGTTACTGGGTAGTCTATTCCCGTAAGAAAGACGAAGTCTACGTATTCAATATCGTAGAACACGCGTTACTGGGTAGTCTATTCCCGTAAGAAAGACGAAGTCTACGTATTCAATATCGTAGCACTAAAAGAGTTAACAAAGACGAAGTCTACGTATTCAATATCGTAGCACTAAAAGAGTTAACTCTTTTAGCACAATGTTACATACAGAATGGACGTAAACAATCTGTATGCTAGCTTGACTCAAATGATAGTCGGTAAAGGCTCATCAAACTCGTTGATGGCTGGGGGTTTGCCAAAAATTCTATAAATAGGAGAGTCATTGATGCATTAGCTCTATTAGTTAGTCTCGTGACTTGAGGATCCAACAATTTCAGGATAAAATCCATACATACAGATAAATCAGCTTTAACAGTTGGTCTTGTAGCCCCAACATTTGGGACCGCCATGCTCCAATACCTTAAGAGTGTAAACTGTGTATACTCCAGCAAACGTACGAGTATAAACTGTGTCAATACTGGTCGACGCGAAACCCTAAGGACAACGCCGATCAACACGTAGCTCTAGGTCAACGCGTAGTTCTGAGTCAACGCCGGTCAACGCGTTACGATGGAGATAGTCAGTTCAAAGTCAACTCAATGACATAAGCCAAAACCAACTCACCAATTTCGATTCGAGACTTCAACGACGGCCAGATGATAAACGCAGTGTCGGAGGAATTTCAGCTATTCGTCAAAATACTGAATAGACCGAAAATCGAAGAAGTCAAGAATCAAAGCCAACTACAGGTCCTTTCTCACCGACTGAAGGTTAGACCGATCACATCTAAAGTATTTCATACTCTTCTATAAAAGAAACGAGACTGAAACACTTTGGAGGGGGTATCTGTAGGCATCAAAAATTACCCACGGATTCTTACACGCGGCTTGAGACAGAGAGAAGACGATGACCATCACTATTTGGGTCACAAAAGCTTAATTGACATTGATGAGCACATGAAGTAAGTCGACGAACCGTGTGAAGTAACGAAATTGCAGAATAACGAAGATATGAACTGATCGGGAGTTACGCTTCACTTACGAAAGATGAAGCGACCCTCGTGTCTCATCTACTCCACATGTTATTCAACCATGGGAGCTTGTAGATCTCCTCGTCGGCTTTCTTTCGCACTTTGAATCGAGCAATTTCGAGTTCAGATGACGAAGATACGACGAAAACGGACGGGACGCATGAAACAATACCCCAGGCCTTAGCAGAGACACCGCAAGTGTCTCGGCCAAGTCCGAGACTCCCTAAGTGTCTCGGCCATGGTCGAGACACCGCGGGTGTCCACAGACCCAAAAATATAGTTTGAGCTATTTTGAACCATTTTTTTGATCGTTAACCGCCTGGATTTGTCTTAACTGATCAAATGTTATCCTAGAATGTGATAAAGTTGTTACAACTGAGGATAAGAGTGAATCGACCATTTTTATCTAAAAACGGGGGTCCCGAAGCTTATAAATACAGCACTAGGGCCTTCATTTGCACAGATCTGGAATTTTCGAGCCTCGACGAAGCCCTGCTAAATTGGAGACTAAAGGAGCATGAATTTTAGAGAGGAGGAGGAGATCGGATCGAGTTCTTCGGCATAAAGAAGAAGAGTTCGTCAGATCTGCAGTTCCCGGTTCCTTCCCTTGAGATCGTACCTAGCTACGATCTCGAGAAGAGTGGTTATCTCGCTGTTGCCAAGATAATCGCTTCAGTTTCTTGATTCCTTCGCTAGTTAACGAAACTCCGGATTGATTTGATTGTTTGGTAGTCCACGGATATCAACGTCCCCGTCATAGGCAAAGATCTCACGCAAGCAGCGGTTGATAAACGTCCGTTGCGTTTGTTTTGACGAGAGTTATAATTATTTTGTTTTCATTGTGTAACAGTCTTATAAAAAGACTATCTTTTTGTTTTCATTATAACGACTAAAGTTGTAATGAATACATCAATGAAAAAAATCAACTTTCCACCCAAACAATGGTATATTAACTATATGATACTATTTCTGAATCAACGATCTCTAATTAGGCAAACCGCTATACAACCATGCCAGATTGCGATGAGGCATGTTAACTGAACTGAGGCGAGCTCAGTTGCCATGAGGCATTTTCGCTATATTTGAGGTTTTAGGTCAGATTTATGGGCCGTGACCAAGTTATAAACTAAGTGCGAATATCCTACACTTTAAGCCATGTTAAGTGGGTTGCCTTATTCTCCGTGCCAGCTTGTTGTAATGAGATGGTCTGGCTAACCTAACAGAAAAATCTAGGTTATACGCATAACACTAAGGATTATTTTTCTAACTAAAAAATAAAGAATTTGTTTTAGTGGATAAACAAGCAAAATTGATCTGCATGATGCTGCGACATTCGTGTAAAAAAAAATCTAAGATAATAGTTTGATCATTTGGTTTTAAAAGATACTATACACCTAATTATCTTGAATAAAAAAATAGCAACGTAAAGTCAAATATAATAACATGCATCGATATCAAACAACTAACATAGATAATGGGTTTAAAATGATTTCTTTCAAGTATTTTGTATTTATGGTGTTTTAAGAAGTTGGTGTGTCTAAGAGTAAACAGTGGAAAAACTCAGTTTATATATAAAAATCATTCTTGCAAAGTGAGGGAGTTTAAAAATTGTGCAGCTAGAAGTTTAGATTTATACGGAAAAGAAAGCACCTACAATTCGCTAAAGTAAATGGTGGTAAATTAGTTTATATATAAAAGTCATTTTTAGGAAGTGAGCGAGTTTAACAATAGTGAAGCTAAAAGTTTTGATTTACAAGGAAAAAACCTTCTACACTTTATGGTACTGTGTCATTTGTGTAAAAAGAATCAAAGGTATAATGATTAAAACCATTTGGTTATTTGTGCACCTAACCACATAGAAAAATATAGCAAATTATAGAAATTCTAGTGGGAAAAATAAGCAAATTAGACGAAACAAACTAGACGAAATTATTTTTCCATCCAGTTTGAGACAAACTAGACTGAAAAAATTCCGTATAGCTTGTTCAGTCTAGTTTGAATCAATCTAGACGGAAAACTCCGTCCAAATTATCAAATTAGACGAAATAATATTTTTTAATATAATTTTCTTATCATCCTGCAATCTAAGGGGCTGTTCGTTTGGCAAAAAAAAGTGGGAAATCAATAAATAGGAAACCTATTTCCTATTATAATTATTTTGAAGTTGTTTGGTTGGCTTAAAAAGAAGGAAATTATAGAATAGGAGATGAGATGAGATGAGTTGTCACCTTATTATTGGATGATGTGAGTGATTTTTAAAAAAACTTGTTTTGAGGTTGTTTGGTTGGTTAAAAAAATAAGGAAATGAATTGGAGGTATATTATTGGATGATGTTTTGAGGTTGTTTGTGTTTGGTTCGTTTTTAAAAATAAGAAAATAGATGAGATGAGATGAGTTGGAGGTATATTATTGGATGATGTGACACGTACTTAAAGAAATTGATTTCTTGTTTTTTTTTGAGGAAATGGATGGAAAGGAATGTTTAATGAGATGAGATGAGTTGTCACAATATTATTGGATGATATGTGTGATTTTTTAAAATGAGATAAAATGAGATGTGATGAGTTGGATGATGTGACACATTTCTTGTGTTTGGTTTATTTTTAAAGGTAAGAAAAGAGATGAAATGAGATGAGTTGGAGGATAAAAATAATATTTTATTGGATGTTGTGGGTGAGTTTTAGGGATGGAAATGGATAAAAATATTATTTTATTGATTTCCTTGTACCGATTTCCTTTTCTTAGTTTTTAGGAAACCAACCAAACAGCCCCTAAACGGAAATTCAGTCAGTCTAGAATCTATGATGCAGTCTAAACCGAAATTTCGTCTAGTCTAGAATGCAACCACAAAAATTGAAAAAAAAACTCTAACCCTTAACCCCCCCACCTCTCCCTCACAAAATTTGAAAAAAAAACCTAACCATAAATCTCAAACCCCCACCCGCAGCCTCTCCCTTTTGCTTCGTCCGCTTCCTCCCGCCTCCCCCCGCCGCCCTCTCCCTCTTCCTCTATTCGTCGCCCCGCCCCGCTTCTCCGCCGTGCTTCCTCTCTCTCTCTCTCTCTCTTCTCTCTCTCTCTCCTGCACGTTGTCGCCCAGCCCTCGTCGGCGCTTACCCGCCCGCCTCTCCCCCTCTCCCTCTTCCTCTATTGGGACATTGTTGACTGTGGCCACCGTACGCATCCTCTCATTCAATTGCGGCAACGAAAGTCAAAGGCCCTCTATGAGCTCGTCCTCACCATTCATCCAAGTCCCCTTCCACTGCCGCTCCCTTCTTGGATCCTTCATCATCAACGACGGAGATGACCCACTCCGGTTACAAGATCGCCGCCGCCTGATTCTTCTCCTACCTCCAGCAATAGCGCCCTTGTGCACCTCACTCCAGAATCCGCAATTGAGAGGGTACGCTCATCCCTCACTTTCTTTTCATCAGTCTGCCCTTACTACTGTTTGATGTGCGAAATCAATTTGGCTTTGGATTTTCCATCCCCTAGTATCGCCAGCTTGCAGATCTTGACATTGCGTTGAAAGCGAAAACAATTTATCTAATGTGCTTCTTTACCTTGTGGTTGTGTATTGCTTGTTGATGAGCAGGTGGATTTCTTTGACTTCCGTTTCTTGGCCTCTTCTTGCCTGTTGGTGCTCACTGCGCGTAGTCTAACTACTGTATATATATATATATATATATATATATATATATATATATATAATATATCAATATATATATATATATATATTATATATATATATATATATATAGATTATATATTATTTATTACAATCTAGCTAGTCCATGTTGTTAATTAGGTCCTAACTACTGGAAACACCTTTATTTTTTGGTCATGTTGAACAGGGTTGTATTTACATAGTCAATGCGTATGAAGTGTACTAGACAAGCTATACAAGAGGAGTTCACACTGGCCAAATGGCCGGTCCTGCGATTAGTTGAGGCTGTCGGTATGAAAAATCTTTAGAAAGCTCATTTTAGTTAACAACCTTCTTCTCTCACCATCGATTTCCTCCGCAAGTTGTTATTGTTTTTAATTAATTCCAGTGGTTACATACGGTCACCATGCTCTCATTCGACATGCATTACAAAACATGCTCATAATGTGTTACACTACTGTTTTATTTTGAGACCTAGATTTTTTTTAACGTTTGTGATTAGTCTTGGGTTTCTTATAGTATTAATTTGTTGCAAGTCTTGATTAGTGCATATCTTCTTCAAGGTTAGTAATGTTGCTTAACTTTTGTTACTAAGAAAGAGTTCGATAGGTATCTAGGACTTGGACTGCGATGATGTTTTTGAGGCGATTGGGCAAATTTTCTGCATAATTTCTCCTAACTATGCAGTAAATTTCAGTGATTCTGCCAGCATAATATGCTCGAGACATGTGACCATTGTCCTTATGTTTTTCTCTTTAATTTCGTAGTCAGTCATAGGCATTTCTAGGTGAGCTATTTGGAATTTGTATAATCTAGGAGAGCTAGTGCATTGAAATTCCATGATACTTTTGAAGCATGCATGTTTCTTTGAGTCTGTAATCATATTTTTATTGATGTGAGTTATAGTGCATTTTTTCCCCTTCTTGACAACAGTTTAGAGTCTTTAGACATATTTGAATGATTAAACAGCTTTTGATTAATTTTAATGAGTTTGTGTGGTTAAACTTTTTCCCTTTTCTCGAATTTTGTACCTATTCTCTTTCCACTTTGTAACTATCCTAAGTGCTTATCATGCTTTGTAGTTTTCTGTAGTGGACTTCAATACACACTCTTAGTTGGGGGTGTGTATTTTCGTGTAACAACCACTTTTGTTAATATTTACCTGGCTGGATTACCTTTGTGGTAATCCATCCTTTTTCTCAAAAAAAAAAAAAAAAAACCTATCCTAAGTGCTTGGTTTAATTTTGTTTTCAGTGTTTTGTTGAGGCTTGGGCAATTGTTCTAAGGCGTGTCAGGAAAGAAGATGTGTCATGTTGCCAAGGCCACTGGTGCCACTGTGGTATGCTTGAGACACCTTTATGAAATATTTCTCAGTATTCGTATTAATTCATAAATCTATCACGGTAATAGGCTTCTCTATACCTGTAGGTGATACTTATTGTATTTTGTTTAAAATTCATTGCTGCCTGTGGTTAAATAATTTAAAAAAAAAAAAAATTCCGTGAATCACAGTACAAGTAGACATAGTTTCTGTGTTATCAGCTTCGTTATTGTTAATATATACGGACAACGCTAAGGAGGCTTAAGGTATGCGTTTTGCTGAATTATTTTGGTCTCTCTGAAGCTAGGTAACCTTCTCCAACAAAGCCATCACAGTTCATGAGTTGTAGCTTCATCTTTCAATTCATTTTTTTCCAAGGGATTCCTTCCTTCCTTTGGGGGTTATAGGTGTTTTATTATACCCATCTCATTTTGAGTGTTACCCTATACATGAAATCTTTGTAGAGGTATTACACGGTACTTTTCGGCGTTTCAAGAAGCATTGGGATTTGCTCACAGGTTCGTATTAATTAATCTTGCTAATTTTATTAAAATTTCTTTTGTAGAACTTGATGCGATCACAAATACTTATCATTACCATAGGAGCTAACGACAAGGTACATTTTGTGATCTAGAGGAACTCACATTAGTGTCATTTCAATTTCAGGGCTAGGTACCATTTGATGACAATAGATAGAAGTGAAGGAATTATTAAGATACCATAAGTACCAAATAAAAGTTCTGTTTATTTCTTTATTTTAATATATGTATTAATAGTTTACATATGTAATACTGTAAACTATAAATTATGCAAACTTCATTAAGTTCTAGTTATTTATTTATTTTTAAAACATATGAACTATTTACATATTTACTTTATAGGGGGAGAACTAGTACAGATTGAGCGGACAAGCAGTGGAATTCAAGCAGTTGAACATCCATGTTTGGGAAGCCTTTGAGAATGGGCAGGATATCACAAGCAGGGGAGTATAGGATAGAAGAATGTAAAAAGATTATAAATATATCTTTTTTCGTTCCAATCGTAAATAAATATATAAATAGAAAATTAGTTATTATCTATGTAAATAATTTATGTATCGCTCTAGTATTTTGGTGAATGTATTATTTGAATATAATTAGATTTGATATTGAACTATAATTAGATTGTGGATATGAATATGATTTGGTGTTGTGCAATATTATATACATATATATGTGATATTATATGCCGTGCAAAGTAGATTCTGTAAAAAAAAAAAAAACTACTGGACCATCCTAGGCGTAATTTCCGTCTTGAAAGCATCCTAGACAGAATTTTGAATTCTGTCTAGGTTGACTTCCGTCTAGTTAGATCAACCTAGACGGAATTCCGTCTAGGTTGAGTCAATCTAGACGAAAATATCCTAGACGGACTTTTCTAGATGGATATTGATCTATATAGATGGGATTCTAGGTTGAGTGTTATTCTACTAGTAGAAAATGTAACATCCTACAACACATTCTAATCTACTCAATACAAAACGAGTTCAAAAATAATTTGGTGGGCTATTCTAGTATAGGATTGATTGATGTTCAAAGTGGCTGGGTTTAAAAGTGAATTTGGATAAAACTTGGGGTTCAATAGCAAAAGCTTTTTAGGAAGTGGATGAGTTTAAAAATAAATTAGATAAAACTTTAGATGATTATTTTAGATCTACGAATAATTTTGGAAGTGGGTAATTTTAAAAACAAATGGAATAAAATTTTATGCTTGTAGTTAGAGAACCCTTAATTTTAAGATCCTTAAACATTAGGCCCTTAAATCTTTTGTACTTTGAAATTAATTCCTTAAGTCATCTAAATTGCTATTTGGTCCTCAAATTCTAAGGTTATTATGAAATTATCCCCTCAAATAATTGAAATTGCTAATAAGCTCCTAATTCTTACACTTATTTCATTTGGTCTCTCTAGTTGATTAGAAGAATTAGTTTCACAAAATGAAATATATATATATATATATTATATATATATATATATATATATTATATATATTAGTATATTATATTATAATAATATAATAATAAGATATTATATATAATATAGATAGTATTATAGATATATATTATTATTATATATATATAAATAGGGTGGTTTCCTAATTCTTAGCAAGAAGCAATGTCATATCGGATCGAGTTGGCTAGACAATGCTGTGTCCGGTTGCGCAAAGTAGCAACTTGGACCTGGACGCCGGGACGGCCGGACTCGTCGACTTGTTGTTTTTCGATTTTTTTACCAATTGCCTTAAAAAAAAAAATAGAAAAAAAAAGAATTAAGAATAATAAAAATATGAGAAATTTTGACAAAAAAATTTAATCATATTAGTAATCACTTATAATTATACAATTTATAAATATAAATATTATATAAATTAAAATAATAAAAAAATAAATTCTTTATTATTAATTATTAACAATTATAATTTTTTAGAATTTATCGCATCACAATAGATGAATACATCCCAACTAGGTTGGCACATACTCGTCTATATCACTATCATTTGTAACTCTTTCTAAAATAATTTATCATAAATTTATAACTAAGAAATAAAAATTATAAACTATGAGTAATTTCTACTCTCTATCTTTATTTACTATTGTCAACTCATTAAGTCTATCTGCAATATTAACCATTCGGTCATTGCCTTGAGTTCTCTTCTCGGACCCCCACCAATCTTGTAGGCACATTATTGCCTGTACGGTAGACAGATCTAGTGATGTCATGTGATTATCGATTAATCGTTCTGACATACCGAAGACGGATTTCAGAGCTACTGTAGAAATATGTATTGTTAGTAAGTCACGAGCCATAATAAAAAGTATATGATATGAATCTGTTCCATATACTCTCCACCATTGTAAAATATAAAAATCATTATTTTGAGAATTAACTAAAGGTGTAGTTAAATGTTATTCAATTTCAAAAATTTTCCTTAATAATGATCTAGATCCAGATCCAGATCCACGACTACCAGTTAGTCTCTCTATCATTGATTGCCTATTAAAAATCTTAGCTTTGCCCCGTCTTGAACCCGTAGAAGCTGTAGGTTGATGTGTATTTACACCATATCTACCTGCATACTCATCATATAATCTTTAAAAATAATATTTAATAGTGTTATAATGAGTAAATGTAGTAACAGTTTGACCATCATCAGTGTCTATTATCATGTTCTCATATGAAGAATTTAACAAATTTTAAAAGCTAATATCCTTCAAACATGGATCAATAAGAATTCCCAAACCATAAATTATAGGAGTAGGTCTAAAATACTTATTAAATTTACTTTCCATTTGAAAAATCATGTTTTCAAAATAATTATCCATGCGATAATTAGTAAAAAAAAGTTTGAGTACTTAAAACTTGTAAAACAGCTTGAGTAATAGTTGGATAACAACAGCTTGAGTAATAGTCTGTAATGGTTGACAGTCCATGACAGACTTTTAACTCAGGACAAGCTGCTTAGAAGAGGAGTTATTCAATCTAACCAATGCATATTATGCTCTGGTACTGAAGCAGAAAGCAGAAATCACCTGTATTTTGAATGCATATACACTAAAGAAGTTTGGAACAACATCATGGACTGGTTGCAATTTAAATGGAAGAGTTGTGATTAGAATCTCCTTCTAAATTGGTACAACTCTAGCTTACAAGGGAAGGATTTCAAACATAGAGTAAAGAGAATGACTTTATCTACCTCTATATACAATATTTGGCTGGAACGTAATGGAAGAATCTTCAAGCAAAATTGTAAGGGAACTGAGCAACTTACTAAAGAAATCAAGGTGGACATGATGACTATTGTTCTTAATAGCAATATACCAACAGAAGATGAGAGATGGATACTTTCCTTGTAACCGAATATAGTTTGTAGGGAACTGCTGATTACTTAGGCTCTGAGTATTTGATGTACATAATCTCTCCATATGGTCAAATGAATAAAAAATTTTCATTTACCAAAAAAAAATAATAGCTTTATAAAAAAAATTATAGCATCTCTTTTACACTACATATAATTGTCCATTCTTCATCAATTATTCCATACATACTACCAAAGCTAGAAGTAGAAGCATAGATAATTATAAAATCATTTATAATTTTTTATACTTTATTGCTATATTTAACATTGCCTAGATGAAATTCCACTTGTGGTCAACATCTTTTGGAATTAACTTGTGTTTCAAAATTTCTTCTATACAATTATTTTCATCTTTTAAGTCTTTAGTTAGGAGCCTTATGAGCATGAGCTATAACCTAACTTATTCTATCATGCGTTTAATTTCATTAAATGCACTTTGAATAATTAAATTTAAAATATAACACATGTATCTAATATGAAAAATATCACCCTGACATGACAATAGGAAAGATGATTTGATATGATGTACAACTACATTATTATTACTTACATTATCTAGTAAAAGAAAAAAATATTTTTTATAAATTTCTAATTCTAAAAGTTCTTCCATTATTAAATTTACAACATTAACACCTTTGTGTGAATATTTAAAAGCAATAAAAAAAACAACTCTTTTAAACATTTGCCAAGTATTATCAATCTAGTGTGCTGATATATGAATAACTAATTTATGCTCTAGATATCCTAATATCAGAAGTTAGAGAAAATTTACAGTTTAAGTTTTGAAAATAAAAAATTATTTTTGTTTGTTCATCGTGGTAATATTTTAAAATATCACGTTGACAAGATTGGCGAGATTTTTTTTGAAATGAGTGATAAAAACCATCTCTAACCATATCCTCAAATTCACCATCTTCTACTAACTTAAAAGAAATGTTTTCAAAAATAATAAACCTAATGACGCATTTACTAGCTTTAATTGCGTCGTAGTTTTAGGTACCGAGGCTATTGGAGGTTGATGATTGAGAGAGTAGAGATTGGCGGATGTCTCATTGAGATGTTGCCACTTGAACTCTGTTGTATTTTTCCAAATGGCGTTGGAGGTGGTTGATACTGCTCTTATGATGAGCTTAGAAAATATGGCCGCACAATGTACATTTAGCCTTCTGAGTGAAAAGTTTACCGTGTTGATTTCTATCTTCTCTAAAAATTTTCACACATCGGATCTCGGTCTTTTAGGAACTCTAGATGTGGCATTATCGCCACTGGATTCGGGCTTAACATCGATATTAGGAGTAGCTCCTGTAGGCGTAGTAGGAGTAGGACTCATTTCAGTATCAGGAGTTGGAGCTTGCCCTTCATAATCGGAGGAGGAGGAAGCGATTTGATTGAAGTATTAGAGCGTATAAGAGAGAATAAGAGAGTGTTAGAGAGTATAAGAGAGTATTAGAGAGTATAAGAGAATTTTAGAGAGAAGTAGATGAGTTTTGATTGGGAAAAATAAATAAAAACCCTCTCTATTTATAGAGGCAGTCTCCTAGCCATGACCAAAATACTTGCAAGTAAAAACTCTCTCTATTTATAATTTTGACTGTTTTTAGGGTATTTTGGTTAAATACACAGAAGTAGTCGTTATTGGCTATTTTTGCTGTCCGAATCGATCCGAGTTCAGGCCGCCTGATCCAATGCTCAATTTTTTGACCGTTTGGACCGGGCCAGTCTGGGCCGCCCGATCTAATGATCAAATTTTTTCTGGCTAGGTTAGGCCGACCTGACCGTTTTTTTGGCTAGTCTGAGCTCGGCAGGATTTGATGAGCCGACCCGAACTTATGCCCAGAGCAAGGTTTGGCCTTAAATCTCTAGTTTTTCTCTGGTCCGGGCAAGGCGCTGGCCCGACCGGGTTCGGTTGGGCCGGAATTGACAACCTTAGGGTGGGCCGGTGGGGGTTGTTCGGAAGAAAATGGGGTGATTAATCATGGGGATTATATTGCCAAAAGGCGAAATTTTTTAGAAAAAGCCAGCAACAACACGAGTCGAACCTAACAGCAATCATTATCATCACATGTAAAGTGTACGCTTTAGTGCTTTACCAATTGAGCTACTAATAACCCTTTTCCTTACATTAATGAAAAAGAGAAAACAAAGAAAAAACTATTCCCTTCAGATTTATGAGCTTAAAATATATATTGTATAATAATGGGTGCACTGCAGC